TCGATATAACAGTAGGCCATAGCGCCAGTGTCCAGGCAAAATTGCAATTATAGCAAACTGTATGGTGTATGCCCGTCTTCATTAGCCAAGTCGGAGCAGAACAGTAGAAGGTTAACCCCTATTGCATTGCATTTCATTTCTGAACTGTCTGAATCATCCGTCTTAGGAGTGTCGTGCGTTCGCATTTGGAAGATAAATGATTCAGCTTTGGCACAACGCATATCGCAAAATTTGGCGCAATGGCATCTTTAATTTCCTTTCTGTAATGGAAAACTATTTTGCTAGGAAGTTTGAAAATCGGGTACATTGTTGACTCCCAGGGTATGCCAGGGTTGGAAAATTACCGAAAATCCTTGGAGGTTTGGTACAAACTGACAGAACAAAGGGGCCCAAGTTTCTGACTATCTCGTTCTGCCGTCCACCACCAAAATTCCCATTAAAAATTAAGTCTAATCATTATGTTTTCATTTAGAAACCCCCTTTAAATATTCTTCGGGATTTTTTTTCAGAACAAAGGGCCCCAATTCTCTGACTATCTCGTTCTGACGTCCACCTCCAAAATTCCCATTAAAAATTGAGTCTAATCATTATGTTTCCAATTATAAACCCCATTAAATATTCTTCGGAATTTATTTTTCATGAATTGTCAATGTGTATTGCAATTCTTTGTCTAACTGAATCACAATGGCACATTTTTATGATTAAACATGCAATGTGAATTAATTTGCAGTTATGATGTAACTTTTTGTGATATTTTATGATTAAACTATTAAAATGTGTAAAACAATTTTTAATGATTACATGATAAATGTAATAAGGTGTATAAAAGGTTTTTCCTTATGGTTAAAAGATTTTTTTTCTTCTGAGTTCGCACTCTTATTGAATGCATTTCGCATAATCAAACATTTATACATTTTTCCAGTTGCATCCATTATACATTGGCTAAGCCCTCACACCATTGTCCAACCTCGTGGGTTTTCTCCGGGTCCTCTCCGGTTTCCTCCCACTGCTAAAGACCCCTACGCGTAAGCGAATTATTGAAATAAAATTAAACCATATGTTAGTCCCGAAATGACCTAGTTTGTGTCGAGTGGACGTTAAACCCTATCTCTCTCTCTCTCTCTCTCTCTCTCTCTCTCTCTCTCTCACACACACACATACACCATTCAGAACACGTCAATGTTAACAACTCTTCCAAATCCTAGTGTAGTAAAGACAATTAAAATGAAATTTTGAACTATAAAAAACGAAAGGAAATAGGATCTGTGTTCTAATCAGATTATCTAAATGATATTTATGGATATTTAACACGAGTCATGTTTTCGTCGATGTTTTCTATTCAGTATGTAAATCATCTTTTAGTTTGTAATTTTATAAATTCTTGGTGCGAAGCGTAATAATTTGTTTCACGCCAATACCCCAAATACCATACTAAACGTAGGTTGTCTGTCTACAGTTAGCTCCGCTTGAGGACAGACACTAAGCTAGTTGACCGACATTTTAAGTCCTAAATCGACTATAGTTCGAGAATTGTATAAAAGTAGTTACTCTGCTTCCATTTAATAAAATTGAAAAAAAAGTTTATTTGGTCTTTTTGTGTATAACAGATCTAAAACGGAGAACAGTCGCATTACAAAACTGTGAAAACAGTATACTAATTTTTGTTTTGGATATGGCGGCCAATTAAGGCAGAGATCCATTCTCGAAGTATGAAGTAGACGGATCTCTTGTGTGCAGACTGCTCAAGCACTTATCAATGGTAAACATAATGAACTAAGCAACAGTTTATCTTGTAGAAACATGGAGCTAGTTGTTAAATCACATCCAGGTAGTAATTATCTCCTGGTCGCTTTCATGGAATGATAAATAGTTCTGGATAATTGACCTACTCGATTCATCCTGATGCAGATGATTCTGGCACATTAGTTTTGTTTGCTAGCATTATGTTAACGATGTACTTGTTTTGTCAGCATTATCAATCAAGTGTTTGGACAAAGCATCTGTAGATTTAGATATTTCGGAACATGCGTGTAATTGGATCAACTCCTTCAGTTTGAGTTTGCCATCTGTTTCGGGGGGACATTTGATATTTTGTTTGTACTTAAAAAGAGCAATGAATATAGGTCTCATATACTTATGTAGACTTCAAAGAATACTTATGAAACAGTGCCAAGATTACACGCATTAAAATCTCTGGGGAGGCGAATGGTTAACGCATGCGCGTTGCATCATAAGGTCTGTCATTGAGTCAACTGGCGTGGTTTCGATTCCACGGTTGTATGTGACAAGGCATATGCTCACCTGACCAACCTCGTGTGTTTTCTCCGGGTTTTCTGCCCCCCCCCCCCAACACACTTGTCAAAGGTAACCATATCCTCGTCTTGAAATGATTGTGTCGAGTGAACTTTAACCCCATTCCTCTCTCTCTCTCACACACATTATATTCTTGATGCAGAAGAATCGGAGTTCTAGATTACATTAATTGAGATCGTAAACTCTTATATCGAATTCCAACTGCCCAGATATCTTTTACGTGCACACCAATGTGTACACAGAACCTTGTTTTTTCGTCCCATCCGAACGACTATCCGCTGTTCCTTGCCAGGAATCGAACACGAAACCTCCAGGTTAGCGAGCCAACGTCTTACTCACTGAGCCACGGCGGAGTAGTTGTAATAAGCGTCGCGTATATTACCTATGACCAAAATTTAATTACAACCACTTTACACCGAGTAGGGTGTGTCGCTTTATCAGGTATATGTTTGTTGACACGTCATACCACGTGATGTACCATATGAACATTTTCCTCTTCAACATTTCTATCACTAAATCAATAGAAAATAACAGGTTTTTGCTGACATGCAAAACCAATATGCATCACAGGATACCATGTTATCACCGGCCGGAGCCGTCTATAATACATAATCATTATACCCAGGAAATATTATCTTTTCTAATTCCATTGGTTCGGAAATAACATTTTTGAGCGGATATGAATTAACGAGGTATGTTTGAAGCTGTTAACTTTTTATTATGCGTGTCAGAATGATGGATATGTATTGAAGTTGTGAGTTATATGTAAGGCAGATATCTGGATTTACAGATTGTTTGTTTGTTACGGACAGTGGAGTGCGCTGGTTTAAAGATGTCCAGTGTCAACTCCTACAGTGTATGAAATGAAATGAAATGAAATGGGGTTTAACGTCCTACTGTTCTGCTCCGAACTAGGCTAATGAAGACGGGCATACGCCATACAGTGTGCTATGAGGGAAATTTTGCCCGGACAGCGGCACTACGGCCTACTCGTATATCGAATTCCAACTGTCAAGGGATCTTTTACGTGCACGCCAATGTGTACACGGGACCTCGGTTTTTCGTCTCATCCGAACGACTAGACAGCTCTCGTTGTCAGACCCTCCGTCCTGTATCACTGACAAGGGGGAACCACGCCGGAATCCTACAATGTATACCCACGTATACTCACGTGTCTGGTACTGAGAAATGTGGGAAAGGAAGATATTTATTCAAATTAAGCAAGACAGCTTATTCTACAAAGTTAAAAATACATTATGCAAGAGCTAAATCTGTCTATTGCAGGTCTTTCTTTAGGCCTGAAATGTTATCTAAATTATTAATTAGACATTAATTAACCTATCCAGACCATAATCAACTCTAGATTGTTATGCTAGCATGCGATCTTTAGTGGATTATGAGCCGATTTACTGGATAATCGAGACTATGCTGTTTATCGTACTGACTTAAGTAATGATGATCGAGGCTAGACAGAAATTTCAACCGCTTAGTTCTCGGTTCATAGTGGATCAATTTGAATGAAATATTCAGCATATTCCCTTCACATTATCTAGTTTCTAACTATTATAGTGAGAACTGCCAACTCGTTATCGAATCTCCCATAATGTATCTGTAATTGCGATAATCACTTAAATGGATGTCATGAGTCGTCGCCCCCTCTTCCTCTCTCTGCACGCTACTGGTTACGGAGAATATCGTATATGAGAATACGGATTGGATTACTGAATGAATCCATACGCATGCACGAAAGCTCATATATCTGTTGAATTAAAGTCATAAATGATTGCGAGGGTGGCACAACTTTATTACAGTCATTACATGCAACGTGAATTAATTTGTAGTTATGAAGTAAATTGATGACAGATTTATTAGATTTTTGTGATTTTATTTTAGAGAAAAACAAGTCGTTATCAGACGGGTTTAATTATATTTTTGATTGGTTTAGACCAGAAACAGAGAAACATGTTATTCTAAAAAATACGGAATTCGTTCCAGAAAAATACCTACTTTCCCTTTATGTGATGGAGAGACAAAGGTCGCCACTTTACTTTTGCCTCTTAATATTAGTTTTAAAAAAGAAAAATACGTTCTCATTAAAATTGTATCTTGGGTAATGTGATTGTCAGAACGCCCACGTTCCTACTGTCTTCCAATGGGAGTTACGTTGGCTCAGTGCGCAAGGCGCTGGTTCACCAATCAGGATGTCTAGGGTTCGATTCTGGTGTTGAATCCTCGGGATTTGCAGCGTGATTCCCCTTGTAAGTGGTGCAGCGCGTAGTCGCTCTGATGGAACGAAAAACTGAAGTCCCGTGTACTCATTGGTGAGCACGCAAACGAACCAATGACAGTTGGGTGTGTGGGAAATTTTTCACTCATAACGCACTGCCAAGGGATCTTGTCCCATTCGAACGACTATACGTTGTTCATTGTCCAGCAACACTGACAAGGGGGAACCACGCCGGAAAATTCCGATGAATGTTCTCGGCCAATACAGGGATCGAACAAGGACCTCCAGGTTAGCGAGCCAACGTCTTACTCACTTAGCCACCATGTCTCCCCACCCAGTCGGTTCAGAACATTAGAACGTTAAACCCCACCAATTCAATCTTTCTTTCGACGACACCGTGTAAGATTAACAAGATCTACACCTGTAATAACAAATCAATATTTCGTTCCGTTTATTTCAGGTTAACCGGGTGTTAAAGAGAGTCAACTATTAAACAAGACGGGAGACAAATCCCAGGAGGTAGTTTTATTGAAACACATGTCTGCTTATGAATCAAAGTGTGCGGTCCTGAATTTTGATTAATTAATAGTGTGTGTGTCTTATCGACTGGTAGTTTCATGGATTATTTAATTCCAACAGAACCTTCTATGGTATTTCAACTTATGACAGTGCGCGTCAGCTAAATTGTTTGCTGCGTGGGCCTAATCACCGACTAAGCATGTAAATCTGTGATTGATTGACGGGTCTAAATCGGATATATTGCTGTCTTTGACACAAATACCTGTTAGTATGACAGACCCAGTGGGATATACCGTTAATATCGGTGCCTCGGTAACTATGAATATATCTCTTGTAGAGACGGTGATTCCTGGAACTGTCAACAAGAGCAGTAATGGTACGGCGGTGGACCATTACGCCATCGGTGCTACAATTATATCCCCAATTACTATGTGTTTAGCAGGACTTGTGGGAAACGTATTGGCTTTAATAGTTTTACACCGAACAAAGAGAAAGATTAGACGAATGATGTTTTATACGCTTGTAGCGGCTCTAGCCTGGACCGATCTAACAGGAATCATTCTAACTACCCCTGTCACCATCGCTGCCTATATCAACCGTCGTGAAATGCCTGGAGGTGTCAGTCTGTGCAGATTTAATGCCTTTATTATGGTATGTTTTGGATTATCAACACCATTAATAGTCTGTGCAATGGCAGTTGAACGATTCCTTGCCTTAAAATGCACTTATTTCTATTCTAAATATTGTACGACACAAAATGCGCGTATAACGGTGCTTGTACTATGGGCCTTCGTCTTAGTATTCGGTGCATTGCCTTTATTTGGATTCGGGGAATTTACTTTACAGTATCCTCACACTTGGTGCTTTCTGAACTTCCATACAGAAGAACTTCTAACGGCCATATATGGTTATTGCTATTCCATTTTGAATTTGTTAATTGTGATTTTGATGATGTTTTGTAACGGTTATGTGATGGTGTCGTTGCTAAGAGTGAGATATATCAAGATACAGCAGGATAAAGAAAGGTCAGCGAGTATCTGTAGTAGTTTAATGGAAGGTCTGGATGAAAATAAGCGACTCCAGGCCCAGATTAAAAAACAGAAACAGCGGGATGTTGAAATGCAGATGATCTGGTTAATGTCGGCCATTACTACTATATTTGCCGTCTGCTGGGCACCTCTCATGGTGAGTATTTGTGTATATTCGTTTGTGTATTGAGTAATTGTGTATATTTATTGGACAAGGCTAAGTATTTGTGTCTATTTGTTGAACATCTCTCATGGTGAGTATTTGTGTATATTTGTCGGGCACCTCTCATGATGAATAATTGTGTATATTTGTTGGGCACCTCTCATGGTGAGTAATTGTGTATAATTGTTGGGTTCCTCTCATGAGTAATTGTGTATATTTGTTGGGCACCTCTCATGGTGAGTAATTGTGTATATTTGTTGGGCACCTCCCATTGTGAGTAAATGTGTATATATGTTGGGCACCTCTCGTGGTGAGTAATTGTGTATATTTGTTGGGTTCCTCTCATGGTGAGTAATTGTGTAATTTACTTGATATCATCATTGACAAACACTTAGATATTTTCATTAAGAGGTCACTCATAAAATTCCCTTGAGTGGATGCTCGTACAGATTCTACTGTACATTTTGGGCACCTCTCATGATGAAATGAGGTTTTAACTTCAACATGTTCTGCTCCGAGTGGGCTAATGAGGACAACTGCGCTATGGCGTTATCGAATTCAAACTGCCAAGGGTTCTTTTACGGGCACGACAATGTATACACGCGAGCTCGGTTTATGGCCCTCCAGCCAGACCCTCTGTCCGGCACCACTGACAAGGGGGAACCACACCGGAAAATCCCGACGAAAATCGCGGCCGGCACCGGGATCGAACACTGAGTCACTGCGGATCGCCTCTCTTGGTGCGTAATTGTATATATATATATATATATATATATATATATATATATATATATATATGTATACCACTGACATCATGTTCCGGCAAATTAAACATTTTTTATAGTATTTTTATTGTAATTGGTAAGCTATTTTGGTAGGAGTTGATGATTATATATAACCCACGCAATGCGAATTACTCGTGTAGTATTAGTCAGTAAATAATTTACGTTATAATTTTACAATGTCACGCGTAACTCACGGTTTGATATTTTGGCAGGGCTGTAACAATAATAAACTGCTCTTTCTCGTGGGGTCGTAAAACGTTCTGCTTTCTACTTCGACCTTGTTGAAACTAACGTGACAAGGAGTAGGGTCGCCTGTCCAGCCTCGTGGGCTTTCTGTGGGTCCCCCGATTCTTCCAACAGCTAAAGACCCCTACGGCCAAGCTAATTAATAAAAAAAACCCAAATTGAACCATATGTTAGTCGCGAAATGACCTAGTGTGTGTCGCATGAACGTTGAAACTATGGAGGTCGCGTGTTCGATTCCTTTCTTGGCCGAGAAAGTTTATCGGGATTTTCAGGCGTGGTTCCTTCTTGTCAGTGGTGCAGGACCGAGGGCCTGGCAAGAGGCAACGTATAGTCGTTCGGATGGGACGAACAATCGAGGTCCCGTGTACACATTAGCATGCACGTAAAAGATCCCATTGGCAGTTAGAATTCGATATAAGAGTAGGCCATAGTGTCGCTGTCCGGGCAAAATTTCCCTCATAGCACACTGTTTGGCGTATGCCCGTCTTCATTAGCCCAGGTTAGGAGCAGAACAGTAGGACGTTAAACTCCATTTCATTTCATTTCATTTCGAAGCAGAACAGTAGGACGTTAACCCCAATCTATTTCATTTCATTTCTGTTGAAACTAGATTGTATTGCTATGAGCAATACTACTACATAGACTTCTGTACCAAGACGGTTGATTTTACACTAGATGTTCTTAGAATGCCAACAAGCAGGTGGTCATTACCGATTTGTTCTCAATACCTCCGTTTTCGCGCAATCCGAAAAAGTTGGGCATACTTCCGTATTTAATGAGAAAATGGGTTGATAAAAATTTGTATATCTGATGTTCATTCAACCTATGATATCCCAAATAATGATTCTGCAAAAATCTTTCGATCAATTCTAGAATAGAAAATTCGAAAAACAGTGGGCCTATGACGCCAATATCTGTATATGGGCAGTGCTCAATTAAAATAAAATAACATCAATTTCATACAATAATAAATGTGTTATAAGGGTAATAATAATTTTAGAAACAATTCAATTTTATTGAGTAATAATCTGAACCATATTTCATAGATTTAATATAAAAGTTATAGCGCTCTGTGGCGAAATTTGAATACATTCTATAATATACTAAATTTATAATTATAGAACATAATGTTTTTATAAATATGAATTGAAATGGGTATAACGCCATACTTAGTTATATATCAAGCTCCGTCTTCATTAGCACACTCGGTACAGAACATTAGACTTCATTTCATTTCTTATATCAACCGTGATGATTCAAAACAAATAAGGTGGCCTATGTATAGATTTCCATATTGCAAATATATAGAACCCTCCAGTTCCACGAATGTTTTTCTACGAAACTAATACTCATCACTATAACACTTGTTATATTAATATTTGTCCAATTCTGACGTCATACAGGATTGCAATAGCACGTACTACACATATTATGACTTCCGGTACTCCGAATGAAAACCAATTATATATAACGACTGATGTAGGATGTGAACTTTACATAATTATTAGACATTCACTGGTCTTTAATGATTCAGTATCAGTTTAGGAGGCGTATATCGTGAATTCTCTGTTAAAATGAAAGGAGGTTTAATGTCCTACTTTTCTGTAGCACCTGAGCTAATGAAGACGGACATATGCCACGCAGCGTGCTATTAGGGACGTATTGTCCGGACAGCAGCGTTACGAATTCAAACGTTCAAGGTGTACACGGGTTCTTGGATAGAAGGGGGGTTGGATGGCTCAATCGTTAGCACGCGCGCGCTGTATCATACGGTCTGTCATTGAGTCAACTGGCGTGGTTTCGATTCCCTGGTTGTACGTGACAAGGAGTAGGGTCGCCTGTCCAACCTCGTGGGTTTTCTCCGGGTCCTCCGGTTTCCTCCCACTGCTAAAGACCCCTACGCGCAAGCGAATTATTGAAATAAAAAAATTAAACCATATGTTAGTCCCGAAATGACCTAGTTACGGCATACTCTTAAGACGAATTCAAACGTTTAAGGTGTCAAGGTGTACACGGTTTCTCGGATAGACACTGCTCTCTCGCTAGCGCCTCACCTCACCCCGCTCCGCTCAGCACTGCTGTCGGGGAATCCAGGATGGAAAACCCCAGAGGAACTTTTTCGACCAACACCTGGATCAGGCTTTGGATCTTCCTATTAGTGAGCCATTGCCTTACACGCTGCGCCACCATTGTATATAGAAAAATTTTGATATTTATACTGATGGCTGAAATAGATATACACGTCAGAATAGCTTTATGTACTTGAGTAGGAGGCAGACAATTCATATTAAGAGTTAATCTCTTAAAGGCTAAATACCGTGGGTAACATGAGAAATGGTTTCATATTGGTATCCAATCTTAAACATATTCTTTCTCGATACAAAACATGTGCAAGGCGAGTTTAGCCTCTGGTCATGGCGCCAACTCGATTTTCCCAGTCCACCTTTGTTTGAGAATGGAACATTTTGGTGCGTCTATTAAGCACTTCAAGATCTTCTGTCTGAAAATGAATAAATGAAATGACCGTGCTTCAGGCAGTGTATGAACCGCAAGGGAACCTACTTGACATACTGCAATAAATTTAGAACACGGACCCAAAACCTCGCCTTGGGCTAGATCAAGCGGATTAAGAAGTCTTTCTGCTGAGTATATTTGTCTTTCATCAGACAAAGTTTCTCTACATTTCTTTCCAAAGAGATTCGCATAAAATCTATTGAACGTGTTATTTGAGACCAGTATTTATCCATTTAGCTTTCGATGTAGAAGTTAATAGATTCGTACAGACAGTCGTATTCAAAACGGGCATGGCGTAAAAACCCATCCTTTGAGCTCAATATAATGATGATTTGTGCATCTTCCGCTTGCATTAGATGTGTGCCATAAGTCTTTTTCTTTATACAGAAGAACATGAACTACAAAGGCTGAACCTTTCATCGGTTGTCTAGGTTAATTAACACTTACACGTTCCCAACACTTTCCTTAAAAAGACGAGCACGGAGTACAAAGGTTGAAGCTTTCATTGGTTGTCTGGGTCAATTAACACTTACATGTTACTCAACACTTCTGAAGACTCACAGGGTTGAAGATTCGTGGGTTATTACTTATATTCTTTAATCCCCAAAAGAAACGCCTTATATAAATACTTTAGTTCGAAACCTTCTCTCACTCGAACGATATTTTTTGTCTTAAACAACATAGTTAATCCTGTGCAATGGAATTATAATGTAATGGAGGCCTTTTAAACAGGGGGGGGGGGGCCGAATGGTTCACGCTTGTGAATTGGATAACTAGGCCTGTCTTTGGAGCAAGTGATGTGGTTTTTATTCCCTGCTTGTTTCTATTCCACTGGTCCTTTGGCCGATTTCCTCCCACTGCTAAAGACCCCTACGCGAAAGAGAATTATTGAAATAATTACCTAGTTTGTGTCGACAAGTGGACGTTAGACCCCATCTCTCTCTCTCTCCCTCTCTCTCTCTCTCTCTTTTAAACAGATAAATGAAGTTCCATATGAACTTGTCACCTGTCCATGGTTTCAATCAATTTCCTGTAGTATTTTATGCCTGGGGCTTATCTAATACATGTATCTATTTCCTTCACAGCTTCAATCCGGTTTTGGTATCGTAGTACAAAGTCCTGTGGGGAGACGAGGCGAAGAGTTTCCCTTTGTTACCGGATATCTACGCTATAATATTATCACTGCGGAACCCGACTAACCATCGTCCGATTTTATCCGGATTGATAAATTAAATTGTGTATTGTAAGCGATTCAGTTGTCAGTTTTAAGAATCATCGTGTTGGGTTTTTTTAATGGATAGCACTTGGTTTTTGAATCCAAGAGCATTTGTTTTCAAATCGTACGTAACCATTTCAAATGTTTCTTTTGTCGTTATGCATATATACGAATGAGTGGAGGGGTGGCCATGCGATCTAACTTGTTCGCTTTAGATCTTAAGGTCTGGTTCGATCTCACACTTGTACGTGACAAGGAGAAGGGTCTCTGGCCTAACCTCGTGGGTTTACGCCGTGTTCTCCTCCCAACCCACACACTTCTAAAATCTCCTACCCGGATGCGAATTATTGAAATAAAATTGCAGTGTATGTTAGTCGGCATATAATCTAGTTTGTGTTAAGTGAACATTAGATGTCAAGTATATCTGTCTCTCTCACTCCCTCTCTCTCCTCTCTCTCTCTCTCTCTCTCTCTCTCTCAGAATGTTGGTTGGTGAATGATTGATTAGGAAGATTAAAATATTAGCGTATCAAAGCTCAACAACATAAAGAAGATTCAAGACATCAGAACACATTAAAATAATCTCCGCCTCGTTTATCCATATTAATCAACACACATTACAAAGATATGTGACGCAACAGGTAACACTTTAATCCTAGATAATCGGGATAATCCAGGATGCTACAATGTCATTTTCGGTTTTTCCACCTATAAGGGTAAAGCCTGTGTGACTGAGAAGAAAACTGTCCAATATTCCGGATAGTGCGAAAAAACTAAGGTAACTTGTTAGTTGAATTATGGAGAAAAGATGGCCGAAACACCGCTGCTGTACAGACGAAATTCTCTCTAACATGGCATTATTTACAGTCATAGAAATTAACAGATAAAAATATTCTACGCGCATATTGTTAGAGATTCAATCGCGAATCTGTAATAGGTTCTCGGGTGGGACAATTTACTCAGTACTACCCAATACTACCCAATACCGCCCCAATATCACCACATACTACCCAATACTACAACATAATAATTTTCCCCCGAATAAAACTCACTATTTTTGAAAATATAGTGATATTAGGGTGGTATTGGTGTGGTATTGGGTAGTATTGGGTAAATCGTCCCGCCGGGTTCTCTCGATGTCAAACATGCCCTTAGTCTTTAGTTAGGTTAGGTTATATTTTGGCATCAACTGTATTTTATCTATTATTTCCTTCTGTTGCGTATCGTTAGAACCGAACGCAGGATATTTGGTCATGGGTGTGTGGGTGGGGTGCTTGGTTGATTGTCCTCCTCGAGAAAATTCGAAAAATTGGAGTGGCGCATATGTGAACCCGAGTATTACATTCAATTTCACCATCCATCAACCCGGTTAGATCTAACCTTATCCGAACCCTTCTTACCCACAATCATTGGCAATAATCACATGCCCTAACCCTGTTTACATCTCGTGGCCTTGGCGAAATCTACACGTGGTCTTAATATTTAGATCTGACCTCATCAACCCAACAAGAAAGAAAAAAACGTCAACAAGAAAAAAACCTCAAAGTTACACGTTTCATAGAAACGGAATATAAAGTAAATTTGTATTTTATCCGCCACTGGTATCATTCTTAACACATAATGGAAATTGACATCCACGATAGAGAACAGTTGTTGTTGTGAACTCTATCTGAATCAATGTTAGAATGTCAACAAGGATGCCCCATTGTTATTTATGTGGTGTTAATAATTTCCTGCTGTCCTGAACATGCTGCTCTACATTATTTATCACTTGTAAACATCCTTTTATATTTTACAGAGTCACATCATTATAACCCTGGTAACTGGTAAACCTAATCCTGTTGTTGGTTTGTTGTGTATTCGTCTGGCCAGTTTAAATCAGACATTGGATCCCTGGCTGTACATCCTACTGAGGAAGACATTTATCAAACGCGTCCATAAAACTATCAAAAAGATTTGTTGTTCTACGAGTCCGCCACGAGAACAATCTGAGTGTCGTTGTAATCAATATGTTCACGTGGGACGACAATTATGTCATCAGAAATATTACGTTGGTAATTCAGATCCGAATGATCTACCACCGGAAGTCAGTCAGCAGCTCCGGAAGTTGCACGCCACACACAGTAACAGCACCAGTGGTACTCTACCGGACGTAATGCGCGGAACTCGATCCTCTAAAAGTCTACATACCATGCCTGATGTGACAAAGTCCCCAAATAATCCTTCAAATGAAACAGGAGATACGAGTTCGAGATCACCTGAGGGTATATATGTGGATATGTATCGTGTTTTACCCCTGGTTTCAGTAAGTGATATGAACAGTGGTGATATGATAGAAGAGGACATACACCAAGATGAAACAAGTCACATGTTACTATCCAGTAATGCACCTTGTATTGAAATGGCGCGAGATTCCACTTCCGGTGTTTTCAGTATCAGCCCTGAACTAAGCCGATCTTTACTAGGAAGCAAGGACCTACATTCAGATATCACACCCACTATTAAAGTTAAAAATAAGTAAGTAAATATATACTAGGTCACTGGTGATGTGTACTAAACGTAAAGTGTTTTTGCACACCAACTGTTAAAGTTAAAAATAAGTATGTAAATATATAGGCCTACCACGTCACTGGTGATGTGTACTAAACGAAAGGGTTTTTGCAGTATCCGTGTTCCACTTGTTTCGTTGTTTTCTCTACTTATATGGGTTAAGGGTTATCCCCTTATTAGGACCGGATCAAGCATGCATAGGCCCTCGCGTCAACAGTGAAAAGGTGGCATATTCCGGGCTATTCCCCACCCCACCCTCCACTGGTTGCTTGCCGTAGCTGCGAAAAGTTTATGTCTCCCATGTTTTAGCTCTGCCGTAACATTTATTCAAGATAAAATAAAATAACCTTAGAACTACTTTAGGAGCCCTTCAATATTGGGGCTCCTGGCTGCATCTATATTCTGGTATTTACAAATGGTGTCGTCAGTGTTTTGAGATTGACTTCGGCTACTGAAATCGAAATCCTAAATATCACCCATATCGAAATCCAGAATATCGCCCATATTGTTCATAAGTCGTTACGAGTGTCCCATATTGTCTATATAATAAGTCGTTACGAGTGTCCCATAAGAAAGTGTATGCTGATGTCTAAGTCTCTTTTGTATAATTCATTTATCTTTTGTATTACAGGGCTAACGCTCGACGAACCAAATCTTACACATAAAGTATAGACCTGGAATATAAATATCTGTGTTTCATCAAGATAGCCATTGATGAGGAAAATATTGCAAAACTATTGACGAGTTTTTGAAATATATAATTTGCCTAAGGATGCTTTTATAAAGTGAATTTGGTGCGAATAGTTCAGATCACCAAAGATTTAGAATCTTGAAGAGCTAAACTGATAAATGTTTATCCGTTCAGATTGTGTTAGTTGGCATGAACAGAGCAATTCAAAGAGACTTTATACAATGGAATGGCCCATTTGGACGCATAAAACGCGATACGTGTTTGAATGACTAGCATCACCAAAGATTTAGAATCTTGAAGACCTAAACTGATAAATGTTTAGCCGTTCAGATTGTGTTAGTGAGCATGAACAGAACAATTCAAAGAAACTTATACAATGGAATGGCTCATTTGGACGTATAAAACGTGATACATACGTGTTTTAATGACCAGCATTAACATTATTATTATGTTGCATATCCCCCAGTAAAAAGTCGATATATTCAAGGCTTGGATGTTAACTTTTGTTGAATATAAACACACTGGCAAGGTGCTTGACAGTTATTTTGTAAACTTGGACATTCTGCAGTTATTCAAAGCTTTAAGAATCATATCAGAAACATGGTTTTGAGAGAATATTTATAGTGTAGAATTTTGAATGTGTTTTTCACCCATCTGTGAGTGCATGGATTGGACATCAGTGGAATGGCTGGTCACGAATTGATTTTATGATGTTGGGTCGTCATTTCCAAAACTCCATAGATCAATCTGTGGTCTGTACTTCTTATTGGCTGCGAAACTTCTCAGAACAATATTTAATCGGCAAATAGAATTGAAAATATAAATTGTAAATAGGCTGAGTAATGCATATTCGCAGATCCAACCACGAATATTCGCGTAACTACATGAATTATCTAGCTTACAGAGAAATGCTAACAGAAATCAGCATTTAATGTGCAGCATTTTTTCCGTCAGGTAGAAGGCCATTTCTTGTTTAAGCACGTAGACATATCAGAATTTTATTATTCGCCCAAATTGAAATCCAATTGTTAATTTAATATCGAAACTGTTAGAAATACTTTAATAGGTGATCGATTTGAACAGATTCGTGACCATGTGAATTGGTGTAGAATGGAGCCTGTATTGTATATTATTTTGAAAGCCCCCGAGGGAGATATAAACTAAATCGAATATCATAGTTACTTGAAATTGACATCCTATTACAAATGTTGAGGGGGTTGGTTTTACGTTGTTGCGATAATATGCAATTATATGAGACTATGCGTGGTATTGTGTCACAATTTGTGTGTTTGCAAAATTGAACTCGAAATAGACATTTATCCTATGGAATTCTACCGACAAAAAGACTCTCCGAATGATATCAATTATCAACTATTTATAGAAATCTCCATTTATTTTAGTTTCTATAGATACCTTCGATTTCTTGGGTAATACCTGTATAGCTTAATGTGAATATTATGTTGACTCAATCTAATTAAAACACAGATCCTATTTCGTTTCGTTTTATAGTTCAAAATTTCGTTTTACTTGTCTTTACTACACTAGGATTTGGAAGAGTTGTTATCATTGACGTGTTCTGAATGGTGTGAGGGCTTAGCCAATAAAACGGTCTGTTACGTGTTTTGAACGGAACTGTGGGTAATCCACTAATAACATCAATGCTGATTGGTTAATCAAATGTCTGATGTCATAGGGTCAAAAGCCGCTCGTAGGACTTCTGAAGCGACCTATCGTTACAACCGGTCAGTTCATGTAGTGTAGGCCATCAAAAGTATAAAAAACGAAACGAAATATAGATCTGTATTTTAACCAGATTGTATGTTGACAATAGGGATCAATAAGCCCACATGCATGTATATATATAACAGTTTTGTGACTATGTTTGTTTACGCATTGCTGATTAGGTCTATTCTGGGATCATTTAATTAAGCTATTAGAACGGAGTTAGAAAATATATTTAATGGAATATTTTCCTCGGCTTTAATGTTGATAGTATTTTTGTTAATATTGTCAATATTTTCCATGAAAATATATTTTCGTATTTCTACTCTCTTACAGCCAGAGGGTTTACGATGGTTTCCGCAAAATACATGTTTTATCTGTGATATAAATGATTGATTTTTCTTTATTAATAAAGCTTAATTTAATGCAAAATGGTTTGACAGTTCTTAGCACGTAAAAGAGCCCTTGACAGTTGGAATTTATCATAAGAGTAGACAGTGTTGCCGCTGTCCGGGAAACATGTACGTCATAGCACACTGTATGGCGTATGCCCGTTTTCATTAGCCCAGTCGGCGCAGAACAGTAGGACGTTAAACCCCACTTTGTTTGTTTATGTTTATATGGGTCAATTGATGCATTGACGGTGTCAAGATATGAATCCAGAATGAAGCGAAATGGGGTTTAACGTCCTATTTTTCTGCACCAACCGGGATATTGAAGACACAACGGGGTTTCTACCTATTATATTCTTCATAAAATTCCAACTGTCAAGGGTTCTTTTACGTGCACGCACACGAGTACACGGATGAACCTCGCGTTTCAATGCCATTCGAACGATTAGATACTTTTTATATGCCCACTTCTGGGTGCATATTATTTGTTTCTTTGGCGGCAAGTTCAGCTAAAGTGTTGTTTTTTATACGTCGGAGATAGCGTTTGGAGTATCCTCTTTCTCTTAGTTTGCTAAATACCAGCGTACATGCTGACTCAAAGTCGGCCTTCTCATTGCATATCCTTTGAAAACGGAGAATCTGAGATTTTATGATGCCAGGGAACGTATGTTTTCGGTGAAAGGAGCTTTTGAACAATAATTGATGTGTATCGGTTTCTTTGAAAAATACTTTAGTTTCCAATTGGCCTGTGTTTTTGCTACTTTTAAAAACAGTAGTGTCAAGGAAATTTATTCTGTTATGACTTACATCATTCTGAACATCTGAGACACGCTACCTGCGGAGAAGTATCTCAGACACAGTCAGTAGCCATGATATCCATATCACGTGATCTACACATCACAGGTCATGACATTGGCGTCAATGGGTCATGAGGTCAACATTGTAAACAATAGGTTTATCTTCAGCATTGTGTCCGTTGCACCCATAAAGACTATATAATTCGTAGATTCCCAACATGTTCTTTCTTCTTCCAATAATTTTTCACAAAAATAACATCTACAACTCATAGAATTGACGTTGTCTTCATGTTCGTGTACATGCTTTGTACGTCGATGGGTATTAGAATGGTGTGCTCCGGGTCCATTAACTGTTTGATTTTGTGAATAAAATCGTTAGTGTCTTTAAGGTAGGTCGCCTGTCCAACCTCGTGGGTTTTCTCCGGGTCCTCCGATTTCCTCCATCTGCTAAAGACCCCTACGCGCAAGCGAATTATTGAAACAAAATTAAACCATACGTTAGTCCCGAAATGACTTAGTTTGTGCCGAGTGGACGTTAAACCCCATTTCTTTCTCTCTCTCTTTAAGGTAGGATGGGTGTTGGCATGCTAGGGGTAATAAGAAGTGGTCTATATATTGTGATACGTTGTATGATTCGCTGCCACGGTCTGATATTATTGGGCGTCCCTTGGGTAATTTATTAGATATAAACCATTCCGTTTCTGGATTTTTATGTATTTTCGGTAGTGTATAGAGATGTCGTTGTCGGCAGTCAGATTTAGCGGATAGATAATCATATTGTTTTGCTGTTATGTATTCCTTATTTTGTAATTCATGTAAGATGTTGTTTATTAAGATTGCGGTGTCCTTAAAGATGGGTTGGTCTAATTTAGTGTAATGTTTAGGATTATTTCATTGTTTTTTCTGCCTCAGAGATATAGTCTGTGCGATTCATTATGACACAACACGAGCTTTTGGCGCTTTTCTTAATTATTATGTTTTTTTGTCTTTTTTGAGACTGTTTAATGCTGTTTTTGTTTCTCGGTTGACATTTGGTTTTTGTGATTATAGTTGAAGGCATGATATTTCTGTGTTTATTTCGTCGAAAGTTTTTAGGATGGCTGGTGATAATGACTTTTTAAGTGGTTTCCATGTAGATTTTTCTGTGAATAATGTTTTACCGCTGCAGGGTTTGTTCCTAAAAAATAAGTTAACGAAACTGTTCTTTGGAAGCGATCGGTTGTCTGGGTGGTGGGGTTTATGGATGTTATTGTTGGGGTGGAATGAATTTAAGGCCTTTGTCAAGAATGTTCATTTCTAGGGGGCTGAGAAGTCTGTCGCTCAAATTGACAACTGTCTGTCCTAAAGACGGCTTCTCATTCCTTTTCCCTAATCCTAGTTTAAATTCCTCATCCAGCAGTTGATCTCTCTGGTCGTGTTTGGGCTCCAGTGGATTGCGTCGTTACCTTTCAGTTCTATTTTGCCATTGAAGTTTGGTAGTGTGGTGGCGTTTGGTGAAGGTGCTGTGGAGATCAATTGGTTGTAGCTGGTGATGTTTTGGTAGGCGATCGGTTGGGGGTAGGGTTAAATCCCCAAAATTCTCATTTATATAAAGCGGCCATTTTGGACTCCGGAAAGACCCGAACCTGTCCAACCGGCCTACAATAGCATCCCCCTTCTCAGAAGTCTCGGGCACCGAGAACCACCAAGTCTTCAACGAGGACTAAATATCCATCGTTACTTGTTGGAAGAAGGGGAATAACTCCGATTAGATAGAAGGTTCAGACCACCATTTAAGTTATCATTAATTCTGCTCCAACAACCCTTCCCCCATGTATTTGCTCCAAGGTATGAGGTTAACCACCGATATTTTGAGATACGTAAACTTGAACTCAAATAAAAATATCCTTTCATCTCTAAACAATAAATATTTACCGAAACCTGGCAGAAAAGTCAATTCAATCCCGGGGGAGAAGGGGAGAGAGAGAGAGAGAGAGAGAGAGAGAGAGAGTAACGTGGTGGTGAAATTTATTGGTGGTCTGCTTCCAAAAAGATACGTACCGCTACTGTACATGGTAAGATATTGAAGGATAAAGGGTTGTAATTGTATAGAAAGGTGTAAATTCGTTCGTCTGTTTTGAAGTAAGGGACAGTCTAGTTCCTTTAGGAACTGTCTATCCGTCTGTATATAGCTGCAATATGAAAATACGGTGAAATATCGCTCTTCCCCACCTCCCCATATGTTATTTTGGAACCCTTACCATCTATTTTTCACCGTGCTTCTTTATTTTTTGACAAAAGGAATCATTTCTCACAATATTTGACACCAATTTATAATAATTCAACACTATTTTCAAGTCGAATTTAGCGATTAAATAAACATGCGGTCTGCATGCGGTATTTTGTGTTATGTTTTTAATTGCAAAATGCTGCTAGAAAACAGTGTTGAATTAATATAAATGTGTTATCTGTGGCAAGAAATGATTCCTTTGGCGAATAAAGAAGAATCACGTGAAAAATAGTCGTTAAGGATGCCAAAATAGCCTTAGAACAGAGGTGGGAAGAGGGTATTTTCATATTACAGCTATATACAGGGACGGTCAGGAACTATAAGTGGACACCGTCCGACCAGAGACAGTTCCTAAAGGAACTAGGGATAATCTACCTGCAAAAGTCCATGAAGGTTATTATTATTAAATAGACGTTACTATTGTTTGAAAGAGTTATATATAAAAAAAAAAATAAATAAAAAAGAACTGTATCCTATATTAACGAGAGATTATTCTTTGGCTAACAGGAGAGAGAGGCTTTGATCTTCTAAGTTTGGGCCCGGGCGACATGCAGAATGCTATGAGGGCATTTTTTCCCGGGTAGCGGTGCTACGGCCTACTCTAATTAGAATTCAATCTGTCGGGGGTTTCTTTTACGTGCACGCCAATGTGTACATCGGACCCCCGTTTCATCCCATCCCAACGAATGACTAGACACTGTCCTTGCCAGGCCCTCCGTTCTGCACCACTGTCAAGGGGAAAGCACACCAGAAAATTCTGCGAGACTTTATTGGTCAACACCAGGAACGAACCTGGGAACTCATGGTTAGTGAACCAGCGTCTTACTGGAGTTAGTGCTAAATGATAAGGCCAGCTCAATTTTTCGTCACAGGTCACGAGATGTAAACAGGGCTAGCGTTAATCCCAATCCTGGACCTAGCCCCAATGTTTACCCTAACCCTGACCTACAATCTAGCAACAATCACGTGCCCTAACCTTATTTACATCTCAATGACCTTGACAAAAATTGAGCTGGCCTTAACAAATAGATTTAGCCGTCTTACTCGCCGAACCGCGAGATTTTAAAAGGGTAAAAAATAAAAGGAAATAATAATAAGCTATTGCACTATTTATTCTCAACATGTGATTTAACAACTCTAAACATACTGTAGACGTCATTCACATTCAAATGGACGTGCACTATACACCATGTAGTTAATTTAACCAATTATTGTAAAATTACAAATAGTTTTAAATAATATAAACTAATGTAATATATTTTAACCATTCAAAGTATCCATCACGAATACAAACTAATTCTTACTTCATCCCAGCCTTTCTCCACTTTCATTTTTATTTCAGTTGAACTGTATGGCCTAATCAACTGCCCGGCTGGCTGCAATTTAGATAGTCTTTTTAAGGAAACCATCACTACTTTTATCGTAACACAGCCCAATAACTTCAAGATTTCTCTCTACCTATCTGTACTGAAATTTTGACTTTGTGAAACTATTAACTAGGTACTTTGTTTTAATGGCACTTAGTAATTGAACTGGAAATACAAGACTAGAATAAATTAATTAATTTCGACAAGGCTTCTCTTTAGTCTTTATTGAGCAATGCTGAAATGTCCGGTAGTAATAAACAGAAATTGCATTCCATAGAATTGTGACCAGTGACCTGTGCACAAACTATAATAGGTAAATATATGAAGTCAACACGTTCATCCAGTGATATTGAGCTGTGTATCGCCAAGGATAATCTCCTTGGTTAAGCCAAAATAGTTTACATTATATTTCAATCTGATTAAAATACAGATCTATATTTTGTTTCGTTTTTTTATACTTTCGATGGCCTACACTATATGAAGATCTGACCGGTTGTAGCGATAGATCGCGTCAGAGGTCATATGAGCGGCTTTTGACCCTATGACGTCAGACATTTTATTAACCAATCACCATTGATGTTACTAATGGATTACCTACAGTTCCATG